CAACGCGGGGGGGGTTCGTCAAGGCGATCGCGCGATAACCCGCGCGGAGCCCCCGCAGACGCGAGGCGATCGCCTCGACGGCCTCCACAGCCCCTCCTGGCGTGGGATCCGCCGCCCCTCGCTCCGTGAGGAGTTGCAGAAAGTCCTCCAACGCCTCGTGCGAGACCCCTTCGGAGAGAACGTAGGCGACAACGGCAACGGCCCGCATCGGGGCCGCGCGTTGTGCGGAAAGATCCTCGATTCGCGGTATCGCCTTCGCCGCCTCCACGCCATCCGCGACGGCGAAAAGCGGCTCCGTGTTGGCGATGGAAGAGGAGGAAGAAGAAGAAGAGAAGGTGGAAGAAGAAGTAGCCGAGGCCACCACGCAGAGCAGCGTCCGCGCCAAATCAAAGAGCAGCTTTTGCGGGGTTCGCGCTCCCGCCTGCCGCCGAGATTGCCGGAGCTGATGTAAAACAATCCCTTGAATCCGCGAAAGCTGCGCGGCGGTGGCGCGATCAAACGATGGATTTGCACGGATCCGCTTACTTTCGCTGTCGTAAATCACCACAGCGGCCGTGAACTTCTCCTTAAATTCGAGAATTTGGCGTAGCTCAGACTCTTCAGGCGAAGGGTTGGAGGTTGAAGAGATGACGGCATGCGCCTGAGCTTCGCTCACATCCATAGCCTTTTGTGTAGGGCGGGAAACATCCGCAACAGACGAGGAATAGCTCTCCGTAGCTATTGCATCGGGAGCTACTTCTTCCACCTTCGACGCCACAACGGACTGAGGATCTGCTTTCCGCCGGCTGCTTTTACCTTCAGCCCTGTTGCTGGAGCGTTTTGGAGGGGTATTCTTCTTGGATCGATACATGTAGATCCCCTTTCCCCTCTATTTATCAACCTTTGTATGAAGCTTGTACTCGTGTTCGCGTGTGGCTTATGGGTATGGAAGTAATCTATGAAATGTGGAAAGAATAATAATACCAAATGCAACAAGTCAACTGCTCGAGAGTGGCAATAAATAGAGCGATATGTATCCTTAAAGAATTCAATCCCCCACCGTGGGTCTTTAAAGAAGCCAATGAAAGTGAAAGAAGGTGAAGGAATGACAAATGAGAGCTGTCCCTAACGGATTGCTGCCAAGTTTAATGTACAAAACCCATCTTCTCGCTCTCAAGCTGCTCTTTCCACCATTGAAAATGAGGCCATAAACGTATCCTGGATGAAATCCCTTCCCTTTTCGTTCTAATAGCGACACATCCAAACGCGTCAACCCCTTTGGGGGCACCTTCTAATCCTTTAGCCCTCTCAGCTATGGCCCGAATTTATTGAATCTATCCTTCAAATTCGAGAATCAGGGAAGATTGGAAGTGATACACATTTTTTAGTACCATTCTTCCTGTTTGAGTACGCTCAAAGTCAGCACCTTCTTCATCGTTCACCTGCTACGGGTGATGGTATCGGGCCCAACCTCTACAGTCGTCCTATTAAGTAACGGGGATGTTGCTCTCATCGAATTGCTCATATGCCCATGATTTATCCATATGTTTTGTTGTAGATAATTTCTACAGGTCCTCCTTTGAATGATAATTACCATCTCTCGGCCGTAGATCTAGCAAAGGAAGCTCGGTGAAGTCAAACTCCTCCGCAACCTTTTCACGATTCTGTCGCTTTTCATCGTACACATCACGGGGCCCTACCGCGCTATACGCGGGGAAGACTAAATTTTGTATGGGAACCCCTTTTTATTCAATGATTTTAGCTCTTCCGAGAAGGCTAATGCGCTGTGAGAGTGTAGCTCGGCATGAAGTCCTCCCCCGTCAGACAAACGTGTCGTAGCATGCCTTTCACCTCATTTGGTCGCAGCAAGAGGAAGATATGGAAATACGTGGGTAGTCCTTGTAAAGGCGATTCCACCACTACCTCCTCGTTATCACCTTCCCCACCTTTTTTGTAGTGTGTGGTGTTGCTTTACCTGTCATTACCATCGGCGAAGACTTCACCTGAAGCGCCCGAACCGCCACGAGAGCACGCGATCGGCAATCGGAAACTATGGGCGTAGCCTCCCTGATGTAGTTTGCTTAAATAGCGCTCACCTCTCGTAGGCATCCCATCCTTCTCTGAATCATCGCACTTATCTAAGGTGCTTATTTAAAAGAGCTAGAGGGATAGGGATCGAAACTATTTTAACGCTAGACCTGTCAAAGAAAGAGATTAGAAATGCAAGGGAAATCAAATACGTTTTGAAATATCCAGCAACTTCAAATGACACCGAGAGTACGAAGGGTTTGGAATAAACGCAAGTGATATACGCGTTGTCATTCCCCTCATTTTCGGAAAATATAAAGGCATTGTATTTATTTCCTTCTGTTTGCTTGATTCATGTGAAGTAAATAGAAGCATAGCATAAAAGTCGTCTTGCTTGAAAGTGAAATCTTATATGTATGCGTAAAGGGGTAGGGCAGATTCACTTAGCCTATCGCATTTTTCACAAAAAATAGAAATGAATATCGACACATATATCTCATTCAAAAGAATAACAAAGAGACTTGGAAAAAAACTCAAACCAAGAATGTCCATAATGCATAAAAAGCATTTGAAGGAATATTAGGATTGAGTTTAACTTGTCCAATACTCCAAGAGTATTGCGCATGGGTTCGCACAGGTAGAAACCACGAGGCATGTACGTGTGAGGGGGGATTCTTGAAATGTGCTTAACAAATCCACCAGCGTTCGACCACCACGTGCACCAACACTCAGCAATATAGAAAAAGGTTAAACATTATAACACTATAAAAGTATACTTGCGTTTAATGATAAAAAATAAACAAAAAAAATAGGTGTGTTTCACCACTTTAGATTGTTTGAGTATTTTTCAAAATTGCAAACCAAATTATATTTTCTTCCCACTCCACTCAACCTCCTCACGCAGATCCCCTTCCCTTAAAACTTGTCAATTAAGCAAATTAACCTAAGGGTTCAAACACAACTGTAAGCATATTCATTTGAATGAGGAAGACAAACCAAAAGAAGTATATCTCTTTCGGACCAACAACCCCATGCTGCTTTCATTCAAAGTTTACCACGTTTAGCCTCACTTTCTCCCTTGAGTTGGCTCCTCCGTAAGCGTTCTTTCTTTTTTTTTTATAGCGAGGAGGAGAAAAAAAAATAAAAACGCATCGCTTCCCAAGTTGGAGGTGGGGGGCAACATGCTGGATGCGTGAGTTTTACTATAGATAAATTTACCCGTTTATAAATTAACAAAACTCCTACTTTTCGTTTTCCGATTCCAAGTTGGTGGCTTTACTCGCTACGGGGCTGTTTGAGGCCTTCTTCACACCCAGCCCCTCCTCCTGCACCTTCGTCACGCGCGAAGAGGAGGAGCCGCCGCTGCCAAGGAACCACAAGAAACCGAACGACGTGAGCACCCCCGCCGCGATGCTCAGCAGAATCTCCGGAAGGAGTGACCACACCGCCTCGCGATCCACGCCAAGTCCCGAAATCCACGCCAAAGGGCGCGATCCCACCCCTTGCCACACCCGCCGCGTGAAGTCGACGACCTCCACGAGAGCCCCCCCCCTCCCTTTTCCCTTGCTCCTCCACCGCCGCGACTCGAGGTTTCGCCAGGCGTGGAAATGATGCAACTCGCAGAGGCCCTGCGCGGCGCACAACCCCCTCGGCGGAAGCGCCCGCAACGCCTCCGCTTCCGCTTCCACCGCCCCCCTTCTTTCGGCTGCTTCCCGCCGCCCTCCGAGAGGAGAAGCCGCAAGGAGGCGTTCAGGAGGGCGTCGTGGAGGCCTTCCAAGGTGCGCGGGCAGGCCGCCCTCGCCCCGCGGCGGAGCCGCAG